TACATGACCATCTATTTCCTTGAAAATATAAAAATACCTTAAGAACAGCGTTCGTTATGAGCGTAACATAACTATCGCGAAGATATTTGAAACTAATAATTCTAGAATTTCTTCACCTCTCCAACATATCCGTTAATTCTTGCCACCATTGTGGATTGGTAAGAATAATTGTAACTGCCTCACAAACGAGAAATCGGTTTACCAGAGTTGGAATAATTCAACTTTTCCTGTTTTTAGGCGGCCCTTTTGCCGCTTGTAAATGTACCGTAGAGACTCCATAGCGGCGCACTAATTATGAAGCGATAGCGTCTACCTACGCCAAGGCAAGACGTTATGACTTCAAGGTCCGTCACGTGACTGATAGTGCATAACGCCACTACCTTACGCGTGGCGCAAAAACTCCTACGGAAAAGACCAGGAGGTTAAAGTTGCAAATTCGAAAATCACGTACACACTTCAAATTTATGTTAATGATTGATGTTAGTAGAACTGCTTCAAATAATTTTCAATTAAGTTTCTGCAATTTTCAATAGTTTTTTTCGACAACACAGAATTGTGACAAATAACTACCCCGAGCGAGGCTTGAACAAGCCGACCTTGCTCCAAAGCACCGAGACAACAACAGTTTAATCAACCTCTCTCACCGGGTCGTACAGGTTTAGGCATTCCTATATAGTCCTAAGAGCTTGTGTTTCATACAGATAAGCAGCGGGAAAATAACAAAGTTAAATTAATGTTCTTAGGCACACAACAGATTTGCAGCTCCTCAGGTATCAAAACTCGACGCGGTAAATAATGTTTGGCTGGTAACGGAGAAAATGTAAAAAAAAATTGTTTATCGAGCGACAAAATAAAAACAGCCGTGAAGAGAATTGAGGCTTGTCGCAAAATCTTAGTTAAGATAGAGAGATTAGAAAACTAACTAGCGAGAAATCTGGCCCATTTTTATAGCCCCCAATAGTTTTATTATTAAGTAGCAATTACTACAACACAAACTTATTTCATAGGCAAAATTTCCATCAATTTGTAGTTTTAAACCATTTTTGCCCAATTTCGAAAAAAAAACTAGCTAAAACCGAAAAATGGAACCCAAAGCACCAATTTCTTACCCCCCCTATTACGTAATGTGGAGAAAATAAATGGAAAAAATTTGGAGCGTTTTTCTGTTGTAAATTTGTTGTAAATTTCAAAGTCTACATTATGCGAACAACTACTCGTTCCTTCCAAAAAAATTGCACACAACCCTTTCTAAAGAGGGAATTTTGTACAAAAAAAATTTGTATGAAACATAAAATCTCTCATTTTTATTTTGTACTTTTTATAAATTATTTTTGCAGTTTTTGAAAAGTCGGAGATCATGACTGAATATGAGACCTCACCATTCTCTTAAACATTCTTCCGTTACTATTTAATAACGAAAATTTTTGAAATTGTACAGCTTTTCATGTGAAAGTTAACCCCTCAAAATTAAAATACCGCGTTTTCAAATTCCAGAGTCCTCGGACATTCAGACAGAAATGTTTGGGGAATACTAATTCGGAAAAATCGCTGAACGATTGAGCCGCGTTGTCTAGCATTGGCCACAGGGGACAGCAGTGGAACGACGTTTACCATTCAATACCAATTTCCGGAATCAAGTACCAACAGACATGTATTTTGCTAATTAGAGAGATTGTCTTCTAAATTGGCAACAGGATTTATCCATTTCGTCGTTACAAGGGATAACCGGCAATGAAGGTTTTCCTGGCAAAATTTCGTGCCTTCTAGAACACGATTTCATAACGTTCTTCTCATCTTACACTTCGTAAGGCGAGTAAAGTAAACAATAGCCTACAACCTTTTGTAATGTGTGGTACTTGTAACAGAACCCCTGTCGCATAAACATTGCTGTTAAGAACTAGCAGTTGTCTCGGTGCACCTGCGAATTAGCTCTGTGCGGGTTCAGTTATGTCCAATATTTTAAGCTTTCTTTGAATAGGTATTAGCAAAAAATAGACACAGCACTTCCTCATTATTTCTCAACGATTGTTTTTTGAAGACGATTTTAATTTGCAAAATTTTATCGAAAAATGCTACCAATAAATGTTGATTAGTTATAACTGCTATTATAGGTTGTGCAGTCATTTAATGTTTGCTTCAGTTAAAGAAAAAAATTATCTTTAATTTTATGTATTAAAACTAACTGATTTTGTAATCTATTTAATTTTTTTTGGTGTTTAATTTCTCTAAACCTCTTACTCTCTGAAGTTTCTACATAAGTTAAGTTTCAAACTGGAACTAGAAGAAGATTCTGAAAATCGATTTCTAAGATGAATTGAAAATAACACTGTATTGCTGGTCCACGGTGCACAACTTTCACAGAACAACGCTCATTGATTCGGACGGCTTCCGTGTTCGCACAAACTGACTCAGAACACCAGAGAAAGAGCCTCTCAAAGATCAGGAGGATCAGTATTACTAAAGTAATACTATAGAGAGACTTTCTATCAGACTCTTCTAAACTGTATTAGTCTGCGTGCTATGTTTTACAAACCTGCATAGGCACTTACTGGTTTTATTCTTAATGTCGTGACAAGTGCCGTAGCGATCTCGATCGTGGTTCGATCCTCGCCTCCGCGACGTGGCTTGTATCCTTGTGTTTCGTCCTTTTCACCCTATCATATGCCATCCTTCACAGT